TTTTAAATCATAGCTTAACATTTCTGATTCTACCTGAAAGTTTATTTTAATAGTTTTAATGACCATCATAACTGAAAAGAGTACCTCTCAAAAACATGTAAATCCAAATGGAACAGGGCTTCTTTGGTTGCATTTACTATTTTAATAGATGAGCCAAGCCCTGGCCAGTGTGGCTCAATAGTTAGTGTTGTCCCTTGCACCCAAGGGTTGCCATTTGGATTCCCAGTCAAGGAAACGTACCTGGGTTGCACGTTCAATCCTTGCCCCAGTCGGGGCACATGCAGGAGGCAACCAATCAATGTGTCTCTCTCACATCGATGTTTTTCTCTTTCTCTTCCTCTCCCCCCCCCACTCTCTCTTAAAAAAAAAATCAATGGAAAAACTGTCCTCAGGTGAGGATTAAAAATAATAATTAATAAATAAATAAATGAGCCAAAATCCTTTATTTGGAAGATTTACAGTAGGTCATAAAATTATTTCCAAGAATAAATAACAGCATTCTTAGGATACACATTGTTTGAGACCACAGAACCACTACATCCTGTAGCACATAAATTACAGTCCATCATAATAAGCTGTGGGTTTGCCTCTCTTTCTTTAGGATGTTGATCTTATTAGAAATGACCCACGACATTTGGATCCCAGTGAGGGCACCAGTGTCACTTAGTAGTAATAAAAGTTAACTGTATTGTGTTTTTATCTTTAAAAATTAGGAATGTTAATCATTTTTTCTGCATGACACCAGTGGATATTTTAACCTGAGGCACACCCCCCCACACCTTGACAAGCAAAGCTTGAAGGACTTTGTGCCAGTAAATTCCTTGGAAGCAGAGGCAGAGCTGTGGGCTTCGTGAACAGTAGCTCCAATTGGTTAGGCCCAGGCCAGGCAGGGGAGGTGGAGGCCTCTGCACAGGCTGAAGTTTACCTGGGTTGTGACACTCAGCAGTGCTTTTCAGGAGATTGTCACTGCTGTGCATTACCCGTTAGCTTACAATTGAATAAAGGCTTTTTCAACTCTTGCTGTTGCCATGAGCTCTGCCAGAAGGTAGTAGTCTCTCCTAAATAAAAAGTGAAGGGGATTTTTCCAGATTGCTGAGAAAAGTCTTCAGCTAATAGGTAAGTCACCATCCTTTGAACTCCAAGCAACACTGACTTTGGGGGTTACAGGATGAAAGAAGAATGTGTTTGGATGACATGAGAGGATAAGGTGGTGAGACCCATCTATGTGTTTATTTTCACACATAGACCTTGTCAGTTCTTCCTTGAGCTCTGCAGTTGCTTCCCTGGGGATAGGGTAGAACATTGTGATCCTGGAAACACAAAACAAGTCTTAAGCACAGATTCACTGAAAACCCTGTGTATTGAGTTGGAATAGCCAGAGATATAGGCACTGAAGAGTGTGGTCAGGATGGAGCAGAAAAATAGAAGAGTGACAAACCCACCTAAGATAAATCCCAGGAAACTAAAGACCTCTGGTGGGAGGAGCCTAGAATCCTGGGGATACTTGAAGGAAAATATATTTAATTTGGTAAAGTAGATTAGAACCAGCAGTGGGACTGAGTGGTACACTGGAAAGCTGAAAAATAAAGCATTTTGTGTGGTTGCAGTAGCCTCTCAGAGGATGGGGAAGCAGCCCAGTCTGGGAACTCTGCACAGCTTCCCCACTGATGGGGTGGGGGACTGCTGTTTTTTAGCAAAAACCTTGTAATTCAATTTAAAATTTTAAACTATGTGGGAAAGGCAACTCAGTGTAGTTGTTAATAATGTGGGTTCTGGAGCCAAAATTTTTGTCAGTTCTAATTCTAGCTTCACTGCATGCTAGCCTTGTGACCCTGGGCAAGTTATTTCCTCATAAGGTGATTGTAAGTATGGAGCTAAAACATGTGAATCGCTCACAACAAATTTAGCACATAATATACACTCAGATGTTACCTCTCAGTTTTCATATTACTTTGATGCAGAAACATGAGTGACTTTTTCACAACATTTAAAATATATGTAAAAATAAAATGGATCAGTTATGAGTCTCACTCTACAAACTCAGATGAAGAATGTCTTATATGAAACGATGGTCACCAGTACTTACTGGGGGCTCAAGCCAGGCATAAGCAAAATGCTGTACCTACATAATTGCATGCTCCTCTCAAACTGTGAAGCACAGTATGATTCCTGTAGGGATATTGCTTCTCTGGGAGGTTAAGTCACTTTGTCTAAGCTTAGAACTAGGAAATTGTAGCGCCAGTTCAAGCCCTCCTGGACCTCATTCTAGAGATTGACCACAAGGGCTGTTTTCACTGCAGCTGGACTTTGGCTGTGGCTGCAGGGACTTCACCAAGAAGTGTTAGAGCAGGAAGTGGCTGTTACCAGACCTGTATCACCTACCCCGTATCCCCAGGCCCAAGAGGGATGAGGCAAACAATGTAGGCCTGATGATTCAGGGTTTATGTTGCTAGGTTTAATGACCTTTTGTGTCACCAGAGCTCAAAACTCAAAGACTTCAGGGATAGCCAAGAAAGTTCTGAGAGAACAAGGGCCCTAATATATATCATAACATAAAAGCATCCTACTTAGGGCCATGTGGTAATGAAAGAAGAATAAGGGGGGGGGGGGATCAATGATTAGGAAAGAGAATCCAGAAGTAGATGCATTTATAAGAATTTATGATCAAAATGGTATTTCAAAACAGTGGGAAAAGACCAATAAATGGTTTGAGGACACCTGGCTCTCCACCTAAAATGTTACACTATTTTACACCACCCACCCTCCCAAGTTAAAAATTCTTCATGGACTAAAAATAAACCTTCAGTCAAGAATAAAAACAAAACTATAAAGTTATTTTTAGAACTTGTTCTTCCTAAGCAGTACAAAATGTTTAGAAATGATAATAGATTGAGAGTTTTAACTTCACGAAAATTAAAATGGAGTCCTGGCCGGTTTTGCTCAGTGGTTAGAGCATTGGTCTGGGGACTGCAGGTCGGATTCCTGGTCAAGGACGCACAGCTCGGTTGCATGCTCGTCCCCAGTGTGGTCGGGGCTCATGCTGGAGGCAGCCAATTGATGTGTCTCTCACATTGATGTTTCTCTCTCTCTACTCCTCCCTCCCCTCCACAATCCCTAAAAAAAAAATCAATGGAGAAAATATCCTCTGGTGAGGATTTAAGAAAATGTTTTTAAAAATTGAAATGGATAGGGGAATGGGAATGAACAGGCTGGTGAAGGAGAATTTTGATGTTTTCTAGTCTGTTTGAATCTTATACAATGAGAACTTATTGAGAGGACAGTGTGACTTACACATGGAAAAAAAAAAAGGAAAATGTTGGTAAGTAAGTTTGTACCATGGCTTTTAATCCATCGACCACCAACTGTTAAGCTCCCCTTATATTCTTAGACTGGGAGGGGGAGGGGGGTGGTGAGTAAAAGAGCCACAGCCGGAGCATGCCATCTGTAAGATAGTAGTCCAAGAAGGAAATTTTCTCTTGGGGCAGCTTCCCAGAGGTGGTAGAATTAGAGCTGGGCCTGCAGAATGGGGAGGATTTCAGTGGGTGGGAGACAAGAATCTTCCAGGCTAGGGAGGCTGAGGCTGGCAGCCCCCGGTGCCCCAGTGCTCTGTACCCACATTGGGCTGGGTCACCTTACAGTGAGTCAGCTCTGCACAGGTCTCCCACCCCATCAAGGGAACAGTAGTGGAGGAAGTAGTGAGAACAGGTCTGAGTCAGGTTTGGAGACTGGGCCTGAGAGAAGGTCAAAGGTTTGAGAGACTGCTCACTGGGCTGGGAGCAGTGAACTGATTGGTCTAGGGGCCCTCCTTAGCTAGGCTCTGAGGTATGCATGGAGTGACAGGAGTTTACCCAAAAGACTGATTTGGTTTATGGCTAACATCACAGGATTAAACATGCTAAATCAGGCAGGTGGGCAAACCAGGCCTCAGAAAGGTAACCACAGCCCTGAGACAGGGCCACCTCTTATTTCTTACCACACTGGACAAGAGAGTCCTCAACAACCCCCTTGACTCTAACCCTGAGCTCACCAAGCTACTCTCATCCCAGAGTCAAGCTCAGCACAAGATAAGACAGGATGCAAAGCATTCTAATCATTTGTCACTGCTTATACAGCAGCATTCTGTAAATGAACATAAACAGAGAAGCAATTTGGAGCAACGCTTTGTGGAAAAAGATGGCCTATGTCAGGGAGGTGGCAATAGGAGTGGTAAGTCAGGTGGTCATCATGGGAAGCCCTCAGGATTTCCTGATGGGCTGGAGATGAAAGGAGTCACAGATTACTTGAGCAGTTGGAAGTCAGTAGCCTTCAATGGTGGGATGGGGGGAGGCTACAAATGGGACAGAGTTCAGTTTGGAGCACGTTAGTGAAGTTATGAAAGAGGGAGGCCTGGGCTGAAGATTTAAATGTGGAACAGATTGGCATATAGACAGTGTGGAAACCCACTTCAGGTGTCCTCAGTGGATAGTGATGGGTCAAGCTGGGCTAGGCTCTTAGGTAGCCCCTGCTGGCTTTCCTGTTTACAGGTCTTCCTCTTCCTGTGTTTCTCCACATTCCCTTACCCTTAGCTGGGGAGGGTCCAGGTCAGAGCCTTCTTCCTAAGGAGAAACCAGGGGTCCCTCCCTCCTGAGGAAAGAAGATTCTTTTCAGGTTCCTTTGCAGTATTCTTTCCTTCCCATTCCCTTGGCCTTCCCCAAGGCCTGGCCTTGCCCAGGTTGTTACCCACAGACAGGGCTGGTAAAGGAACCTGAGCCGGCTGCCCTGCTCACACTAAAGCACAGCATAAGGACAGGAAATACCTTCTCACTGTCACTTTAAGTGTCCCAAGGGAGGGGGCCTATTGCTCTGTGTTCACCAGCTGAGGCAGACTGGCGGAAGTGGAGCTGGGTTGCAGAGAGCACTGAGCCCAACTGCTCACACATGAAAACTTCCTGCGATGAGAGCGGAAACACAAGTGCCGTCCCCACCATGACAGCCCCCAGAGCCTGGGCCAGAGGGGAGCTATGGACAGGCCCCGGGCTCTCGTCCTGCTCTTGGCACTGCTGACACTCTGCATCACTGCTGGTGAGTAGGGGGCTGGAGAGGAGCAGAGGTTATGGGGATGCGGTGGAGACCCAGCCCTGGGCCCTTCCTATGTCTATATTCCACAGGGACACCTGAAGTGTGGGTGCAAGTTCAGATGCAGGCCATCAAGTCCCTGTCCTTCACTGTTCGCTGTGGATTCCTGGGATCTAGCACTATCTCTTTGGTGACTGTGAGCTGCAAGGGGCCCGATGGTGCTGTAAGAAACAAGCTGGCTGTGTTGCACCCAGAATTTGGCACCGAGCAGTGGCCCCCTGCCCGTCAGGCCCACTGGGAAACCAGAACCAGCATCTCCCTCACTGTGGAAGGGTCTGAAAGGAAAAGCCCCAGTCCCAACACCACCTTCTGCTGCAAGTTTACTTCCTTCCCTGAGGGCTCCCAGGAGGCCTGTGGGAACCTCCTCACAGACCAAGGTGGGGCTGATGAGGAACAGGGCCCAGGGAGGGCAGGGAGGAACTTGGGGCATAGACCACCCATCTGGTATGTCTCTCTTTGTGCACAGAGCTCCCTGCCCCTACTCCAGCCCCTATTCTGCGGGCTGACCTGGCCGGGATCTTTGGCATCTCAGGGGTCCTCCTCTTTGGCTGTGTCTACCTTCTCCACCTGCTGCACCGGCAGAGGCACTGGTGAGACCCAGCCCCAGCCGGGCCCAGTCTAAATCCTCACATCACTGGGATAGCCACATGCTTTGTTTCTGACCTTCTTAATTCTCTCCCAGGTCTGCCATGAAGCTTCAGCCACCCCACAGCAGCCCCCTGACACAGACACAAGCAAGGGTGAGGATCAGGGATCGCTTTGAAGCAGGGAACTGAGTGGGCTTGAGCTGGGGGCCATGATGTAGAACCTCACTTGGGCCTTTTTCTCCGCTACCCCTGCAGGCAGCCAGCCAGGCCTCCCTGGCCTCTCTCCGCATCCCCTATGCCACCATCTCCACCAACCACTTCTGCCCGGCAGCTCTGGACACGGTCCTCCCACCCCAACCATTGTCCAAGTGGAAGCCGATCTCCAGCCACACCGCAGGCCAACCTGCCCTCTGGGCACCTCTGCCAGCCTCTGCTCGCAGCAGTTTCATCTCCATCGAGAATGGACTCTATGGTCAGGCAGGAGAGAGGCCTCCCCACATCCCTTTCCCTGACCCTCTGGGGCCCAGAGACATGGAGGGACATTTAGGAGTTTAATGAGAGGGGCCCCAAGACCACTTGACCTTCCTCCCCTGCCTCTGAGACCCCTTCCGTTGGTGTTTGCATATCTTATTAAGCCTGTAATAAGTGTCTCCACAAGCCTGTAATAAGTGTCTAGCCAGGGCCAACTTGCGGATGTGGCTAGAGTGTGTGCTGGTGTGGGCACGTGTGTATACGAGGGGTGACAAAACCCATCCCACGTTGTTTCCTGTTTTCAAGTTCCCAGCCCTCCCAGGTGATGTCAATAACTAAGTCACGAAAAATGGTTCATTTGACTGGGCCTTTTCTTCTTTGGGAGCTTAAGAGGTTAGAGGCAGTTTCAACCCCTGAGAGGCAGGAGCCAGGTTAGAATAAGAGGGGGCAGGGCCTCAGTACAGGATATCTCTCCCCTACCCACCCCACCAGACAGGGATTTCCTTGGGCTGGGGTAGTCATGTCAGGCAGGGGCCTCCTGGCCCTGCAGACCTTGCTGAGGGACACCAGGTGAGACTGACAGCATTGGAGGTCTGATGGCCCCAGGTAGGATAATCCATATTCAAATCCCACCATGTCCTAGGACAGCACAAGGGCTTCTGAGGCTTCAACCTGAGAAAAGACCCTATGGTCTGACCTGGTGTCCCTACAACAGGGCTCCCTGAGATAGCCTGAGGGTGGAGCCCTGATATGCCCCCTCCCAGAGTTGACACTCAGAGGCAGAGAACCCACCTCATATATTCCTCTTGCCACCTCAGTGGCTTCCTCTTGCTCCTCTCCTGCTCCTAGGGCACCAGGACTACTCCCCACTGGCCACTGGCAGACAGGCCCATTCGACACAGGGACTGAACACACTGTTGCTCCCTTGCCCACTAATCTTGCCATCCAGGAGGCAGCTTTCCTTGAATAAATAGGCCCAGCAGCCTGGATCTCATCACACACAACATGATGAGAAAGCTTTATAAGCTGAGAGGTTCAATAGGAATTGGCAGGTTCCTGGGAGGTGGGGGGACAATGCAGCCCTAGAGCCAGGCTCAGCCTGTACCCCCAACCAGGGTGTATACTAGTTCAGGGTGGGCAATACCTCCTGCATGTAGGAAATCCCAGGTAGTACCAGCTGCCAAGCTAGGAACCACCCCCTGCCTGGAGGCTGTGTCAAACCACAGAATTTTCTAGCAACCCAGCTTACTATTTCAGGCATGCTCAGAAGTGGCCTTCCCAGAACCCAGGCCCATCCAGCCACCAACTCCACACTGCATGGGGGAGAGAGTGGAGCAGATGGGGGCAGGGACAGATGAAGGGGTTATTGGGCCTGCCTCCCTCAGCTGATGATCCTCCTCCTCCTCTGAGAAGCCCTCAGCACTGGTCTAGCCAGCTCAGTGGTCCCTGTGGGGCTGGGAATTTAAGGAAGAAAGGTGGGGGTGCTGGGGAGGTTCTGGAGGAGAGTGAGAGAGATGGCAGTAAGGGAGGGAGTAGCTAAGGACCCAACAGCATTCAGACCATGTCAGGAGCAGGGACATGGGTTTGAGCGTCAGTGGGGCTTGCAGGGTCTCAGATGAGGCTTTAGGGGGCACACTTCTCTAAGAAGAGAATGTTCATGGAACAAGGGGAGCTCTGAGGGAACCCTGACTCCCAGCCCAGCTTCCAGCCAGATCACTTGCCTATAATGGAGTTGGGAGAGAGGTCCTCTGGCCTAAGCCTGTCTTCCACAAACAAGCTCAGGAAACCACAGTCCAGCCTGGTCTTGGCAGAACATAGAAACAAAAACCTGGGAATCCAGGAAGTCTCCACAGCTGGCTCTGCACTGTCCATCCCCAAGGCCAGACCCAGGAGATCTGAAGGGACCCTCTAAGAGAACCATGTTGTAGCACTACATTGTGGTGATGTAGCTGGACATTGCCCCAGAGATCAGCAGTCCAGGCTCCCTTGTCAGATCCAACCTGGGAGATCATGCTCAACAAGTGTGGAAATTGAGGCTGAAGAGAGAGAGGACTTGCTCAAGGGGACAGAACTGAATCATCCCCAGCACCTCCACAGACAGGCATCCAGGACGTGCCCTCAGCCATAATCCAAGACAGGGCTTGCTCTTTGAACTGACCTGGGTTTGAATCCCAGGGGCTACTTACCCTCTGGCTGTGGGACCCAAGGGCTTACTTAACCTCTCTGAGGCTCACTTTGCTCATCTGTCACATAATAAGGGTGAAAAGGCCTGAAGGGAGTGAAGATTGTACACCAGGGCCAAGTACCAAGCAACTTTGCCCAGAGTATCTTATTCAGGACTTAACAACAACCCCAAGGGGTAGGTATTTTTAATAAATCCATTTAACATGCGAAGCCTGAGCCCAGGGTCACAGAGCTGGAAGGAGAGGAGGTGTGGGGCTACGTACGTGCCTGAGCCTGGACACATTCCCTGGGGATGGGGGGTCTGGGGGGAGAGGCCACAGTGGGCTGGCAGGGACCTTTGGAGTCTGGGAGTGTGGGGACCTAGAAGACCACCCTCCAAAGACACCCGCTGCCAAGGGTCCTAATGGCAGGGCTCCTGGGAGGGCCTTCTGCAGAAGACACCAGCCCTGCCCCAGAGAATAGCATCCTCAGAGGTATTGTGGTAGTTATACAGAATTGTGACCCACCCCCGACAGCGAC